ACCCGCCTCCAATCCGTTTTTTGACACTGCTAAATCACACTCCATGCCCACATCCCCTTCAAGAGTTTCGGCCTCCTCCTGATCAACTCATCTTCTCTTCTACTCCCCCACCACAACTCCCGGCACACCCATCGCAGCAGCCACGGTATGCACACTGCCCATGCCTTGGCCAGTTTTGCTAGCGTGTGTCTGCTCTACCCCATCGTCGGAACGAACCTCTGGAACACACGACAAAGCAGGTGATTTCCAAACCCTCCTTTCGGTCGCTGTTTCCGGGGCGATCCAGCACAGATTCTGAGTCGGAGCTCCCCGACGAGAGCCTGCTCTAAGCCAGGCTCCGTAAGGCTTCTCGGCTTTTGGATCAGTACGTTGTAAAGCCAACCGACAATGCCTATCCCCATGCCCAATCAACCCGCACAGGAAGCAAAAAGTAGGTAGGCGCTCATAATGGAAATCAACAAAAGACCAGTTACCCGCATCCCGCTTCAACTTCATCTGTTTCTTGAGTGGTTTCGAAACATCTAAAGAGACACGAACCCTGAAGAATGTCTTCATTGAGCCGTCAAAGTTTCGCTCATCAGTTTGCACAATAGACCCTAAGAACGATCCGATTGCCATAACCACAGACTCAGAACGAAAGCCAACCGGTAACGCATGAATTTGAACTCAAAAATCTGCATGAGTCAAGGGTATAGATTCGGGGTCCTCTCCAGGTTGCACCTTCTTCATTAATAACAAACTCTGCTCGTAAGTCCATGGCTCCTCATTGAGTATTCGTTTCTGGTCCCCCTCATGGTAGAAGCGTATTAAGTACATACCGGGCTGCAGTTCCCTCATATTTACCCCCATCGCAGCCTGCCAAACACTGGCCATGGTATCCTGGAAGTATGCAAACCGAACCGGTCGATTGGTAACAAGCCTCCCCACCGCATAAAAGGACTCCTCTTCCTCATCCTGTTCTCCAGATACGTGCGGAACCTGGATAGTGAACTCCTCGTCGTCGACATCCGCAAGCGTGAGATTAGCACACTGTTCAGCTACATCATTAGCAGCCATGATGACGGAGAGTTGCAGGGCTGCTACGCCGTAAAAACAAAGTCGCAGTTGTAAAACAAAGAAAACCCTAGGTTACTCGCGAATGAGCGAGAGAGAAACGTAGTTATTGAAGATCACCCTAGGTTACACTTTCACGTTTTGAGCAGTGACCAATTTGAACCTTATTTCAAAAATTAAACAAAACAAAATCATTTAAACCTAAATCAATAAACCCAATAACCCTATAAGACTAGCCAAAAATCCAATGGGCTAACCCAATTAATATCTCTACTTTTGACATTATTTTTTCATGAAAATTTTAAAATTTGATTTTAAAGTGAAGTAAAACTTATTTAGGAGATGCATTTCTAATCAGGTTTGACCAGAAATCCAGAATGCTTTTCCTAAATAAATTTGATTATTTTTGTCTAATATTTAAGATGTGTCTTTTTCTTTTTTCTTTTTTTCATGGCAAGTGAAATTTGTCCATTTCAAAAAGCCCCACAACGGACTGGTTCAAACGGCTATTTCGAGGAGGGGTGAGATTGTAAATAAATAAAAAGATATTTCAAAAAGCTGAGATAGTCTTGAGTAAATGGAAGCTATATATTTCAACGGTAATATGGCTTAATTCCAAATTCAAATCAGGAGAGTGCGATGATCGGTTTGGTTTCTTGGAGCATCCAAGGGTCTGATCATTGCCCTGGTAATCTCCGTCGTGATGGCGGCGGAGGCCAGTCTTCCGTCATGCGGGAGGGCCGACATTGCGGCGATGGTCTCTTGCGCTAGAATTCTAGCAATGATTCGCACTGGAGTCAACCAGAAGGCTTCCGCTCTCACCATCCTCTCTCCGAATTCCAATTCCGATCCCAATATACGCCAGGAACGCAGGGTACTTTTCTCTCTTTTCGTTTTAAAAACGATTTCCAAGCATCTTTAATATTAGTTTTTCATTTCAATCGATTCAATGCAAGGCTTAATATTACAATTATTTTTCAGTGAATTCATTAATCATCATCATTTTGACTTTTAAATTTTGTTTCCTGACTGATTATTACGTTACACTAAAGAGGAGATACCGAAGATGGTTATGGTGGACAATGGTTAGGTCCAATGTTCACATAAAAAGGTGTTGTGCAATCCAGAAATGGGGCATTGAGCCTTTTTCCTTTACAATGCACCTTTCTTGAGGACATATTTTAGCAAGAACTATTCTAACTTATGTTTGGGTGTAAGAACTTGCGTATACCGATCTTTTGACTGCACCTTCTTCAAGAATTGATATAATGTTCTTTCCTTACTTAAGAATCAGCACACTTTTCTTTTATATTTGTGGATTGTGTGTGTGCCTAGACATAATTGTTGTTCTTGACTTGCCTCACCCTTTCTCTGGCCAGTGTTTGCTGAATATTCCAATGTTCATGAGAACACGACCTACAACATAATGTCATGCTTGAGGCATGATTAGCAATTTAACATTGTGTTTTTACCTTCTCCATTGTATCTTATCCTTGAGATTTCTGCAGATTTCTAGTTTTGCTCTTATTTGATGTATGCTATTTATGGCATAAATGCTATTTGATGTTAGCTTATTAATTTGGTTATATAGAATAACCAAAGGTTTTATTTTAAAAAGCTTTATTTTCACCTTTAGATATTGCTATCAAATTTTTGATTCCTAAACAGGTGGGTTTCTCTCCTCATTATTGGGATCAAGATGTGAGTGTAGTGGAGGAGCCATTGCTGATTTGCTAGGCATTCGGGGAAGCTTTCTTTTAGTGGTTGTATTTAGGGATGATAATGGATCGGGGCTCTATATCTATCACCCGACTCATCTTATATTTATTCCACCCACCCCCATGCCACTACAGATACTCACCACTTATCATTTTATTAATTTTTTAAAAAATAATATTTAAATTACTTACACATAATAAAATTATAAAATTCATTAGTTATACTAAGAGCACATCCCCATTAGGGGTTTGCTCTCAGATTTTGAAATAGTAAAATCTCCCATGTTGAGTTTTTCACAAATGGGGGTGTTGGTTTTTGGATAATTCTCTCTCATGCAACACTTGTTTGGTTAGGCTTCCTTCCTATGTATAAAATAACCCAAGTTTGGACCAAGCCTTTTGTATTCACTATTTTTGTTTATTCCTAATTATTATTATATTATATATAATAATATTAAGGAAATATAAGAAGTTGGAGCAAGAGAAAAGTCATTTTGAGCTTCTGAAAAGGTGGAATTAATTCCCTTTGCCTTTTCCCATTCGTCAGTAAAGCTATATAAGGTGAGCTTTTCCTTTCTCTACACTACTACACACACATACGGTGATATTTGGCAGAGAGGAAAGAGAGACGTGAGGCAAGGTAGTGAAATAAACAAAGATTTCTTTTGCTTGTCTCTTTGTCTCCTTTGGTAGTTCGGCAGCAGCGTGTTAGGCGGATTTCATCCTTTGTCGCATGTTTGTTGGTTTTGCCGTGAAGTTTACTGAGGTTCTTGGGTGGTATTTTTCACCAAATACTTTTGGAGGTAAGCTTGTTTGTTTCAGACATCGTTTTGGGTAATCTCGTAATATTTGTATTCTTTTCACCTTGCTTGTGGTGGTTGAATATTTTATGTACGAGTTGGTATCCCTTTTAGATCTGTGAAACATTGTAGAAGTCTGTGACTTAGAATTGTTGTATTTGATGATCTTTTTGGATGTTTGGCTCGGGTGGTAGCCAGAAATTTTGTATCTAAGATTTGTTGAACCTTGTTCCTACATGACCTGATCAATTCGATCAGGCACTGACCATCTATTTTCATTATTCAACTCTTTGACAACATAAAAAACCAAAATCTCTGTTCTCCCTCTCTACCAAGGGATGGAATGGCCAAGGGATGGAAGGGCAGAGGCCTTTGGTGTCCCTCCAGTCAAGAATTGGGGCCTCACAATCGCTAGTCAATATGCTTTTCTCTCATGCTTTTCTTCGTTCATGATTTGATCTTCTGGTGTCCTAGGCGTAGAGGAACCACACCAATCCATCCCGAACTTGGTGGTTAAACTCTACTGCGGTGACGATACTGTAGGGGAGGTCCTGCGGAAAAATAGCTTGACGCCAGGATGATAAAAAGCTTAAGACCTCTCATTCTTATTACTTTTTCAATATGAAAACGAAAAAAATGAAAAAGAAAAGGGTTGTCTTTTTCAAAACCCCAATTATGACATCTTTCTCTCCCACTTCACACCTTATAGTGGAATTGTTGTTGGTGGTGGTCCGTGGTTTTTCCTCGTGGTTTTGGAGTTTTTAACGTAAATCTTGTGTCCCTTCCGTTGTTATTTATTTTGGGCTATTGTGTTATCTCGTATTTGTACACCGTGTTGGGGGTTTGAGATTTTTATTGTCATAGGAAGTGAGATTTTTCCCAATTTAAAAAAAAAAAAAAAAAAAAAAAACAACGCGTCTCAGCCTGCAGCCTAACGGTAACACACGCGCCGGCTAAGGCGTTTCGGAGTGGTTGTATAGAGTTGTTTTTTATTTATTTTATTTTATTTTTTTAAGTCTTTTGTTATTTTTGTATATATATATAAATTGTTTTAGTCATATAAGTATATATAATATATAATATAGTATATAGTTTTAATTTTAAATATTATATTTAATATTTATTAGTAGTTAATTTTATAATTATCAAATATAGAGGCACAGTTTCACACAAATTTTTGTCTTAAATATAAAAATAATAAAAAGTTATTTAAAATTATAAAAACTTTTATAATTAACTACATACTTTTATAATTAATTTTCTTGATGGTGTTAAATTAATTCGGAATGGTTGATTTTTATGTTACAATATGAAATTGTGATTCAAATGATTAATACTTCTGTTGTTGTAAAGCAGTAAGTTATTCTAGACACTTTGTATTATTAATCATTTGCGTAAGAGTCTTAAATGTTTGAACTGTCCAGGTCCGCTTCACTGAAAAAGTGACTTTTTTTCTCCATTTCTTTGTATTTCTTCAAACAGTTGCACCGACAGTTTTTCTTGATCATCTACCTCGGAGGTATGTGAACAAGCTAGTATTCCCCTAACGTACTTAGCTATACTGGATCTAACACTATCTTTACTTCCAGATGTCATAAAGCTCTGAAAGAATTGTTAAGGGTACAGAGCCGTCAATTTCAACATGAGGGATTGCAAAGCGTATAATCAACAGGTATTAGAATGACATGAACTACTATGTCTTTTCTTTATATTTTCTATCCCCAAATGCAGTAAATTGATTATGATCCACCTCACTCTTTGAATATAATTAAAATTGTCCGGGCAATGTTCTCATTCCTTACAAAGTTACTCAACATTTGTCCCTTTGTCATTAATCCGTCCGTTTAACAATAATGATGCGGGACCAAAAAATGAGCCAAGAGGAATATGTTAGCATTTTTTTTCTTTGAGTGATGAGGAAAACTCGTAGCTACTACTTGAGGTATGTATTGTGTAAATCCTGTCTTAATATATTCTTTATAATATTATTTTTTTTATTTTTCATTTTATTTCTTTAATACACAATTTATATAAAAACATTTTTTATTAACATATAAATTCTATATTTTATATAATTATATGCTGTTTATATTTTCCTTCCAAGTATAATATTTTCTTCACATCATTCACTTCTACCACTTCTTAAACACAAATAGAAAATATTAAATATAATATTTAAACATGGTTGCAATAGGCGCTAGGCGCTAGTCGAGCGGTAGAGTAGCGCCTAGCGCCTAGACGGCCTAGGTGGTCGCTTAGGCGGCTAACTGAAAAAAAAAAAAACAGTGCACGTGTGTAAGTGCACACACACACACACACACATACACACACACACACACACACACACACACACACACACACACACACACACACACACACACACACACATATATATATATATATATATATATATATATATATATATATATATATATATAAATGAAAAAAAATTAGCAAGGTCGAGTCGGTCGGGTTAACTCGGCTAACTCGACAGAAATTGACGAGTTAACTCGGCGTAATTGGACGAGTTAGGCGCTAGGCGGTTGAATTAGGCGCTAGGCGGGCGCCTAGACGGCCAGTCTCCTAGGCGGGAGCCTAGGGGGGAAATCGCCACGGCTTAGGGGCGCCTAGCGCCTAGGTGCCGATTACTCGGTGCCTAGGCGGGATTTTTACAACCCTGTATTTAAATCATAAATACTAATTCATTCGTAAACAATAAAAAATTGTTCACTTAAAGCGAATTATTTTAAAAGAACAAAATCATAAACTCTAAGGGTTGTGTTGAGTATATGTCATATAAGGAATATAAATGGAACAGATTTAGGTCGAACATATAGTATAAGGGTATTTGTACTTGTATATGTTTAGGGTTACATATAATGTGATGCTTGAAACCATGGATAATTGACATCACACTTTATTAAAGAACAGATTTACTAGTGTTCGCGTAGAGTCGTAGATACATTGCCGAACCATGTAAATCTTGCATACTTTAATTTCTGTCATTGTTATTGTTTCTTGTTCTAGTTAATCTCAACAAATTGGTATCAGAGCACTGGTAAGATGGCCAGTTCGAGTGGCACAGTAAGTCTTTTTTTGAAAACCTTGTAGGTAGAAAAATCAGCTGAAGGATCGTGCGGCATGAACCATTTGGTTTATATATGTTGCAGATGAAATCATGTATCGTATTTTGACCTTGGCAATCCAAAAAGAAAATTGGATAAATTGAAGTGTTTGTTCATGGAAAATTTTTTATGAACAACTCTATCTAAGACTTTATAGGCTTATGATGTAGGAGGGTTCAGACTTGGTATATCATATTAATTAATTTCTTTAGTCAAATAATCTCAAGTTTTACTATACGTGATGTCAAAGATTGAAGAGGGTAAGACGATGATCTTGTTATGTTCCCTGTCTTTTTTCTTTCAACATTTGCTTGTTATTCTTACGTATGGAAAAGTCACGATTAAATTTAATGAGATCTTCGTAGCCCTATTGACTTGTAATCTGTTGGAGAGAATTTGTATGCTAAGGGAATCAGGATAGTAAGAGGTACTCTAGATTTAAATCTATCAACAACAAGAAAGTTTCATGTTACAAGTGCAAGGAGTTTGGGCACTTGAGAAGAGACTGTACAAAGTTGAATAAGCAGTAAGAGGTTACGAACGTGGTATAGACTGATGACTTGGATTATAGTGAAGATGATGTTCTAATAGTTTCATCGATTTAGTTGTCAGATTTTGGGATTTTTCAATGCCTCTTATCATATTACATTTAACACGAAGTATGGCTCACAGATGGATATTGGTGATGCTAATATCCTGATGGGTCTCAACGTTGCATTATCTTTACTTTTCAGTAGGTCACCCATCTTATAATTGTTGTAAGTCATAATTGGCCCGACCTACTCCTACATCCCATTTGAGATTAGACTTGGCTTTCGCCTCCCCATCATAATATTGTGGATATTGGTGATGTTAATATCCTGATGGGTCTCAACGTTGCATTATGTTTACTTTTCAGTAAGTCACCCATCTTGTAACTGTTGTAAGTCATAATTGGCCCGACCTACTCCTACATCCCATCTGAGATTAGACTTGGCTTTCGCCTCCCCATCGATTGAATTTGTGATCTCGGCTTTATTACCAATTGATGGATCTCAATGCTGATCTATGCTTACTTTCCAGTGGGTTACCTATCTTGTGACTGCTGTAAGTTACAATTGGTGATAAGTAGGGTAGGCATTCATCATTTAACCACATCTTTCCATGGTAAGCTACAACGTCATGTCTCGAATTGAGCAAGGGCTGAATTCGACCAACCTGATCAACATTCAACGCATCTACATATATCAGAGTTAACGTAAAACATGATTTCTCTTGTTAGTTTGCACGCCAATGGTTTTATTTATAGTGATTAGGAATTATTAAAATCAATAAGAGTGTTTTTATTGTGATGAAAGGGAAAAAGACCACGGAAAATATGTATAAGTTGTTGGGTAGTACTGTTGTAGTTGGATCACATTCTATTGTGTCTAATGATGATACTATTAAGTTGTGACATTTAAGAATGGGTTGCCTTGAATGTGAATTGTCTGAATTATACAAAAGGAATGTTAAAAGATGGATTTATGTGAGTTCTGTGTATTTGCGAAACATTCCATCAGCTTTTCTACCGGGAAGCATAAAACTAAACGAATTTTAGATTATGTGCATTCTGATGTTTAGGGACTTATCAGGGACCATATGTGATTCTCGATAATAGGTTCACCTCACTCAGTCCTACCACTTCTTAAACATAAATAAATAGAATATAAAACATTAAATTTTAAATCATAAATACTAAATCGTAAACTATAAAAATTGTTCCCCTAAAGGGATTTTTTTTTTTAAAGTAACAAAATCATAAACTCTAAGGGTGTGTTGAGTATGTCATATAAGAAATATGAATGGAACAAATTTAGGGACTTATAGGGTTTATTTGTACTTGTAATAATGGAGTTAATATCACAAATAGTCCTCTGATTATTGCTCTAGTATTCTATTTAGTCTTTGACTTTTAATTCGACCAAAGTACGTACCTTGACTATCATTTTTTATTACAAATAGTCTTCTGTTAAGGTTTCTATTAAATAGGTGTTAAATTTAGGGGTATTATCGTCAAATTAATTAATATAATTATGATTACTTTATTTAGATAATTATATGGTAACATTATATGGCAACCTAATTAATTTCAAACATTAATAAAAATTAAGTTAATAAATATAAAATTATTAATTATTAATGTACACTAGAGTATAAAAAGTTAAAAATAAGCAATTAATAAATGGGTTTTTCCTTCTCAAAAGAAAATAAAAATCAATCACTAATTACGTATCCCTTTAAAAAAAAAAGTACTAATTACGTACATTGATAATGAGTTTTTCTTTAATTTGTTCATTTATGTGATTTGTCACACCCATTTTGTTTTTATTTATTAATTTAATTTAATTTAATTTAATTTAATTTTTATTAATGTTTGAAATTAATTATTTTGTCATATTAAAAAAAATTATGTTACCATATAATTCTCTAAAAAAAGTAATCATAATTATATTAATTATAATTTGACAATAATACCCCTAGATTTAACACCTATTTAACAGAAATCTTAATGGAGGACTATTTGTGGTAAAAAATGATAGTCAATGTATGTGTTTTGATTGAATTGAAAGTCGATGACTAAAAGGAGTATTAGTCCAATAGCCAGAGGACTATTTGTGGTATTAACTCAAATATGATGCTTGAAACTAGGGGTGTTCAATCGGTGAACGTTTTAACCGAAATTTTTAAAACATTAACCGTTAATCGAACCGAACTTTGTATTACCGAATTAATCGAATAAAAGTTTTTTTTTTTGGTTAATCGGTCGGTTAATCAATTAACCGAATTTTTTTTAAACTAAAGTTTTAAATTCTAAATATAATACATATACCTATAACAATAAATCCAATTAAAATATACCAGGACTATGTGGTCTAATGGTATCCGGGTTGGACTTCCATTTGGAAGGTTGTAAGTTCAAGCCTCAGTGGAGGCGTTATTAGCTCTCTGTGTTTCAGTAGGTTGAGAAAGTATATGAACAGATACTATAATGTAATAGAGCTAGTAGCATTCAAAAAAAAATCCAATTAAAATAATAAATTCACAAATTCATAAGAAAATATACAAAAACAATATTATAACAACATTACAAATTTATAGGAATTTTACATATTAGATTAATATTAAATTATTTATTTATTTATATTATATATATATATATATATATATATATATATATATATATATATATATATATATATATATATATATATATATATATATATATATAATATAATATTATATTATATCATATCATATATTATATATTATTATATATTTAACCACATCCCTCATTGGTAAGTTACAATGCCACGTTTCGAATCTAGCAAGGGCGTAACTCGATCAATTCGATCGACGCTCAACAATCCACCTCCCAACACATGTCACAACTTTGTTCACAAAGCCCAAAAACATGCTTGACTCGGTTCTTAGCTTTTGCGCTCACTAATCCCTTTCCTGGGATTGAATTTGGCGTGACCTACCCACATCCGATCTAGGACTAGACTCCTCTTTAGTCTCGCCGTTTATTCGAACCGGTGACCTCGGCTCTGATACCAATTGGAGAGTTAGTTCATGGAATTTTTATTTATTTATTTATTTATTTATTTTTAACAAACAAACTGTATCTAAAGTAGAGGGGCTTTGAGTTTAAGATGTATAGGTTCAGACTTGGTGTAGCATATTAATGTCTTTAGCCAAATAATCTCAAATCTTACTATGTTCACTATCCTTTTTTCTTTGAATATTTGTCTTTGTTGTCAAAGATTGAAGATGAAGGCAAGGCGATGATCTATCTATGTTCGTTGTCTTTTTTCTTTGAACATCTGTTGATTACTCTTACATACGGGAAAGTTACGATTAAACTCAATGAGACCCCTGAAGCCATGTTGGCTTGTAATATGTTTGTGACAGTTTGTATTTTAAGGGAGTAAGAGACTCTAGGTTTAAATCAAGAAACAACAAGAAAGTTCGGTACTACAAGTGCAAAGAGTTTGGGAACTTGAAAAAAGATTGTTCAAAGTTGACGAAGCAGTAAGAGGTTGTGAAACATGGTATATACTGATGACGCTGATTATAGTGCAGGTGATGTTCTAACATTTTCATCGATCCAGTTGTCAAATGCTTGGATTATGCACTCGAGATGCTTTTATCATATTACATCTAACAAGGAGTGTGGTATACAACCTATTGTGGATATTGGTGATGAACATCTTGATGGATCTCAGTGCTGCATTATGCTTACTCCCCAGTGAGTTACCTATCATGTGACTATTGTAAATCAAACATGCTTAACCACGGAGTTTTTTGACTATATAGTTGTCATATCCTACTTAAGTATGTTGACATTAATCATTTAACCACATCCCTTATTGGTAAGCTACAATGCCACGCCTCGAATCTAGCAGGGCGTAACTCCGTCAACTCGACCGGCGCTCAACAATCCACCTCCCATCACGTGTCGCAACTTTGTTCACAAAGCTCAACAGCATGCTTGACTCGGTTCTTAGCTTTCGCGCTCACTAATCCCTCTCCTGGGATTGAATTTGGCCTGACCCCACATTCGATCTAGGGCTAGACTCTGCTTTAGTCTCGTCATCGATTCGAACCCGTGACCTCAACTCTAATACCAATTTATAAATCTCAGCTTTGTACTATGCTTACTTCCTAGTGAGTCACTATCCTGTGATTGCTGTAAGTCAAACATGCTTAAGCCACAGTGTCATGTCTTAAATCAATCTAGATGTATGATGGTATTGTTAGAACTTTGCATGATATTATATTAACTAAGAATTTGATTTCTCTTGCTAGTTTGTATGCCTATAGTTTTATTTATAGATTTGAATGTGATCGGAAACTATTAAAATTAATAAGGGTGCTCTAATTGTTATGAAAGGGAAAAGACCACGAGAAATATTTATAGGTTCTTGGTAAGTACTGTTGTGGATGGAGCACATTTTGTTGTGTTTAATGATGATATTATTAAGTTGTGTCTGAATTATACAAAAAGAATATGTTAAAAGGAGTTAAAAGCTTGGTTTCTATGAGTTTAGTGTCTTTGCGAAACATTCCATAAGCTTTTTACTGGGAAGCATAAAACTGAAAGGATTCTAGATTATGTGCATTCTGATGTTTGGGACTTACTAGGGATCCTAGGTGGCTCTCGATATTAGGTTATGTTTATTGATCTTTTTCTAAGAAAGTTTGGGTGTATTTCTTGAAACAAACATGTGAAGTTTTTGAGAAATTCAAGTTGTGGTAGGCTGAGATTGAGAACCAAACTATTAGAAAAATCAAGTCCTTGAGGTCTAACAATGGGCTGGCTATGTCTTTGTTCCATGAGAGATCAAAATTATATCCAA